ATTATGTCCCCGAGGAGGTTGATGTGGCGATTTCAGGTAAAAATCGGGATTATTTAATTGTATTTTTACCAGGTACAGGAGGTACCTGAATGTATGTGATGTTATCGTATAACGTTGGGCAATAGTTTGGGCGATTGGAAAATGTATGGCGTATATACGAGGGATGGGCGAAGTGTATTATAGGCTTTTGTACTAACTCTATTTTGCACCTTTATTTGAACCGTTGAGTTCCTATTTTGAATTATTTTTCGAACTTTTTTTTAGCACTATTTTTTTAGCACTCTGAACTCTTTTTTGTACTCTATTTCAATGTCTTTTTGCACTTTTTTTCTGCTCTCTTCTGCACTCTTTTTAAACTACATTTTGAACTCTTTGCAATCTTTATAAATTGAACTCTATTTTGCACCCTTATTTGAACCCTTGAATCACTTTTTAAATTATTTTTCGAACTCTTTTTCTGTACTTTTTTTGTACTGTTTTTTCTGCTCTTTTCTGCATACTTTTTGAACTATATTTTGTACTCTTTTCTATCTCTTTTTATACTCTTTTTCCTGCTCTTTTCTGCACTCTTTTTGAACTCTATTTTGCACCCTTATTTGAACCGTTGAATTCCTTTTTGAATTATTTTTTGAACTCATTTCTATACTCTTTTTAGCACTATTTTTTAGCACTCTGTTTGAACTCTTTTTCTGCCCTCTTTTTGAACTACATTTCAAACTCTTTGCAACCTTTATATTGAACTACTCTTGTGCACCCTTATACGAACCATTTAAGCTCATTTTTGAACGTTTTTTTATGACTTTCTTACCATATTATTTATCAAGTTTTATCACCCACGCGGGCCTCTTTTTGCGCGATTTCCCAGCCAATTTTTCCCCTCGCATTCACTCTCGCTAGTAAATCGCTAATCGTTCCGACCGGATAGCAATCGGCAAAGCGATTAGCGCAAATTAAATACCCTACGCTACGTCTGGGCCTACTCCGGTAGGTATAGAGTATGAGTAAGTTCGCGAGAGATCGCTCTCGACGATTAGATGATCTTTATATGGATCGTAGATAAAAGAGAAATTGCATTGTAAATAAAGCATAGGTCAGGTAGACAATGCGAGAAATCCGCGAGCCCGAGCGCAAGGTGTGGTTTTTCTATATGAGCACCGGCCCGTCGCCGGTTCAGCTCTATAACAATAAACGTTTAGTATATATCGGGGGATTTTTTTTTTATCAGACTACCCTCGTATTTTATAAGAGAGCGCGCGTCGATGGAAATTCGCGATTATCTCGAAAACTGATTGAGGTAGAAACGTTCCGTTTGGTTTGTTTTGTAGAATTAATGTTTCTCTAGCGTTTTTGAAGAATCGAAAATTTTCGAAAACCGCTTGGTTTTCGAGATATTTCGAGTTTTTTAAGACTATAATCCTCCGAAAGTGCAAGTCGCTATAAATTTGCAAATATCTCAATAAATAATCGAAATAAAAACATTCCGTTTGTTCCATTTCGTAGAATAAAACTTCCTCTACACTTTTTGAAGAATCGAAAATTTTCGAAAACCGCTTGGTTTTCGAGATATTTCGAGTTTTTTAAGACTATGATCCTCCGAAAGTGCAAGTCGCTATAAATTTGCAAATATCTCAATAAATAATCGAAATAAAAACATTCCGTTTGTTCCATTTCGTAGAATAAAATTTCCTTTACACTTTTTGAAAAATCGATAATTTTCGAAAACCGCTTAGTTTTCTAGATATTTTGAGTTTTCTAAGACTATCCTTCGAAAGTGCAAGTCGCTATAAATTTGCAAATATCTCAATAAATAATCGAAATAGAAACATTCCCTTTGTTCTATTTGGTAGAAAAAAACTTCTTCTACACTTTTTGAAGAATTGAAAATTTTCGAAAACCGCTTAGTTTCCGAGTATTTCGAGTTTTTTTAAGACTATCCTCCGAAAGTGCATGTCGCTATAAATTTGCAAATATCTCAATAAATAATCGAAATAGAAACATTCCGTTTGTTCCATTTCGTAGAATAAAACTTCCTCTACGTTTTTTGAAGAATCGAAAATTTTCGAAAACCGCTTAGTTTTCGAGATATTTCGTGCGACATTTACACAATTAATCGACATTGAATCAACGCGAATGCTTCTCTCGATTCAATTTAATTGCCATTAGAAAATTCACGCCTTTTGTTGTTTATTGGTCAACGCCGAGCATTCGTAAAACCTTTAGCGAATTAATTAAGACGTTAATTATGTCTTACTTTACCAGGCCCGTTCGATAAGTTCCGTATATAACAAAGCAAGAAAAACTTAGCTAGTATTCACGAGTTAGATTTTTACAGGACAAAAATAGTATTAATTCTTATAGTATAGCATGTAATATTAAAACCAATTAGCCGATGCAAATGCTCGGTATAGAAAATCTCCTCTCTCTCTCTCTCTCTCTCTCTCTCTCTCGCATGTGCCGGAGAAATCGTAGGTGGCGATATTCTCGAATAAAGCGATTACGCGTCCATAAATAGACGGATTGGCTGAACGGCCGAAACGTCCGAGGCCGGGCGAGCCGATTACGAAGAAAACGAAGAAGGTCTTGCGTCGCGAATCGGGTATTTACGACGCCGCGGTCGAATACGGGGGACGCGCGATAAGTTCCGACGACGGGGGGAAAATGAAGATTGTTTCGAGACTTTTTTTTTATCTCCCCCATTAGACAGGAAATCGCCAATATTTACTGGTTGCTTATAAATATTTGAATGTTTGCGAATCGGCGTTATCGAACGTTCGGCCAAGTTCACGGCCAAATCGAGAAATATTTTGACATTTCCTTTAATCAAAAGAATTTATTCGTTAAGACAAATTTTATTATTAGGTATATACTGCAATGGCTGATGCGAGAACATTTTTCGTTGCCCCCGTATATAAGTAGAATAGGTAATAGGGGAAAATTAGTACAAAAGAGCTTACTCTAAATTGGAATTTATAACGAAGCGTATCGATTTAAATATTTATATATCGATATCATACCTATCGCAATCTCCTCTTCCCGTTATTTACACTTTGTCCCTTTTTAAATATCCTCTTATACAAGATAAAAAAAATACGAATACATTGACTTAGGTTATGACAAATTTTATTATCGAAACATTTCCAGGAATCCAAATGCGACCGATTTAAATAAATTTCGCTATATACGAGGGGTCGAACAAAAATCGAAGCGCCTACGCCGCTGGTCGAACCGGCGATATTGCGATATCGTTATTTATATAACGTTTTTAAACAAATTAGCGGAAAATGTCAGGTAAAAACGGTAACAATAGAAAATATTCATTAGAACGCGAGCCACACACAAACTCACGATCTCGGTCTTCGTATATTATGCGATAAAAACGACTCGAAAAATTATTAAGGCCGATTAGCCGGACGGTTTTTATTCGACTTTGCAGGTTTCGCAATCGTTAATTCCACCAAATATAGGCCGATAATTATCAACACAAATCGTTCGCTTGATTAATTATTCAACCTCCCTCGTATATGTGCAATTTTTTTTTAATTATATATAATTTATTACCCAAATAACAATTACAAACTCAACTTGAAACAATATTCTCTAAACAGTGACGAAGGAATCCTGCAGGACTCGTGCAGAATTGGTTCAGGACGATCTAAACTATTCCGAACTATTCTGAACTGTTGTGAAGTGATAAACAGAACTGTCACTAAACAGTTCTGATCGATTCAATATAATTCCAGAGGAGTTCTGAACGGTTGACGATTGTTTAGAATGATTCTGCAAGCGTTTTTAGAACTGTTTTGAATCCGTTTAGGATTGGTTTTGAGCTGTATCAAAACCGTCCTTTATATTAACTTTATTTGAATAATTCCGATATCGATTAGTGGTATAATTTTAATTGGATAATCCCGCGATGCCTACGCTCGCTTGTATTCTATTCGTATATGCATATGTATATACGAGGTGTGGCCGAAAAGTTCCGAGAAACGGGACAAAATGGTCGAACGGAATGGAAGAAAATATAATGGGAAGGTTATTAAGCTGTTTTAAAAACAATGCCGTTTAGAAATTTCACTTTACTCGCGCGGGTCTCTATTGTTTCGTTAGTTAATATTAATTAAATTGCGTTTACAATGATTGGAATTACCATATGGAAAAAGGCGCCCGATTACGATTCCAATGTAATATATATACAATGCTGCCCAGAAAATACGTTGATATACTGTCACTATATAAAATTAAGTTGGCATCCCTGGTAATAACTTCCTATATATACTATATAAAGTTAAGTTGGCACCCCTGCTAAATCTAGTAACTTTCTAAAAGTTACTATTAATAGCGAATAAACGTCCGTCAAAATCTGAATACTCTGGCGATTGTAAATGAATTATGCAACGAGAAATTCCGCTTATATGCCGATTATCGGTGACTCATTCTAAATAATTCACTCGACATCACAATATAAGCGACCCGTGCGTGCATGTGCACAATCTACCTCTAAGAAACGAGCCGAATGTAGGCAGGTTGTTGCTCGTTTGAGGCAATTAGCGAATTAAAATCCACCGAATAGAATGTACTTACTTATTACTTTGTTTTCAATCACAAAGGGATATCTTCCAGCGTGTTCTGGAACGCGATTTTGGAGGCGTTGATTTATCAATTGACATTTGACAGATTGAGTTGTTGATGGAATTTTTGGTGGAATATTTAGGTCTTGTGATCTGGCCTAAATATTCCACCGATTTATTTTATTGTTGATATAAAAAAGAGTTTTTGGGATGGAGTTCTACTGTAATAAAAACGAACTTGTTTAGGTTGATTCAATGTCAAATTAACGTTTGACAGATTGATTAGTTGACAGTTGTTAGTGGGATTTTTGGTGGAATATTTAGGTCTTATGATCTGGCCTAAATATTCCACCGATTTTTTTTATTGTTGATATAAAAAAGAGTTTTTTGGGATGGAGCTCTAATGCTGTAATGAAAACGAAATATTCATAAATAACTTGTTTATTAAATATAATAAAATCTGTGTAGTAAAAATTAAGGCACTATACAAATGGCAATATAACATTAGAAGAAGCTAAAACGCCCCCTATATTATCATCCGATCGTTTGTTGACTAGAAAAATATCCTCGAAATATATACAAATAAAAAATATATTAACTTTTATCTTCGAACAACTAATCCTACCCTTATAGAGATTTGTACAAAATACGACGAAAAATAATGATACAATAGACCAAAAAAAAAAAAACCTACTCGGTAAATATACATTTTTTCCATATAAAAAATCGTCAGTCTTTTAACAAAATCGTTTCGTTTCGAATCCAAGGCACTTATAGAACGAAAAAAAAATACTGCAAAAGGAACCGTCAATTCCCCCAAAAACATCGCCGCAAAAAGGAACCGTCAATTCCCCCAAAAACATCGCCGCAAAGGGAACCGTCAATTCCCCCAAAAAAGGAACCGTCCGAACGCACGTCAATTCCCCCAAAAACATCTCCCATCAACACATCTTATCCAAATGCACCAACGTACAGCCGCCTTCGTTGTGCTTCGTCAACAACGACATCCTCGAAAAGGTCTTGCTGCACGTCGAACACGAGTACTTCTTCACGTCCGAATGCGTCTGCAGATGGGCCCTCAAATTCGACCGATCGGCGAACGCCCTATTGCAATAGGTACACGAAAAGGGCTTCTCCCCCGTGTGGGTCCTGATGTGCCCCTGCAACAGCCAAGGCCTCGAGAACGCCTTGCCGCAAATGGTGCACTTGCAAGGCAACGTGTGGGTTCTAATGTGCATTTTGAGGGCCCCCAACGAGACGTACACCTTCTCGCAGTACTTGCAACTGAAGGACTTCTTGGGCCCCTCGCCGGCGGCGCAATGGAACTGCCGGTGCTTCGATAACCCCGAGAAAGTGGAGTAGCTTTTGCCGCAATCGGGGCATTGGTGGCGCGCCCCCTGGCGGCGCTTCTCCGACGAATCCTCGGGGCTTTGGGGCGCCGGTAGAGGAGGCGAGGCGGCGCCGCTGCCGGTGGGGCTGAGGCTCTCCGAGTAGACGGGGCGCAGGGCGAGCGGCTGCAGCGGCTGCCGGTGATGGGGCGGGCTGAGGCTGCTCTCGCTGTAGGGCGAGGCGGGGTAGTGGTACCCCATGTCGTTGTAGTGGTACATATAGGGGTGGTAGACGCTGCGGTGCCAGGTCTGCGGGGCGTAGTCGGGGCTGATGGGGGGGTACTCGCGCAGCGGTTCGACTTTGATGGGGGGTTGGTACATGAAGTGCGCGGGGGACGTGGGGATGGGGGGCGATGAGGGGGGTGTGGAGGTGATGGAGGATTCGGGGGTGGCTGAGGGGGAGATGGTGGGTGATGATGGGGGTGAGATGGAGGCGAGGCGGCCGGTGCGGCTGAGGTCCTCCGGTTTTGTGGAGAGGTTCTCTGGTTCGTCTGTAATAGATTGAAATGTTTGTTGAAATAATTTGTTGTAAGTGGGTGCTTGAGTGTATTTTGTATAAGTGTAGCTACTTGAGTTCGTGCAATTGGAGTGATAAAATGCGGTGTGTTTTGATTAGATAAGAATATAGGTAAATTAATAGATAATGTTCTAGTATGTATTTGTGTGTACAAATAAAATTTATTTCCCACAGGTATTTATTTACAAATTGATTTTGATAATGAATAAATAATAAATTTCTTGGCAATATATTCATTGGGTGTTTAGTATATATTTTTGTATTTTTGTGCATGCACATGTTGCATAGGTAGTACCTACGTATAGAATAAAATATACACTATTAAAATAAATTTCGAATATAGAAAAATAAATATTTTTTAAAACAAAAAAAATATTAATTAGTAAATTGAATATAATATGTATAGGTACTGTATATCAGTGTTATTAATTGAATAAAATTAAAAAAAAAATATTTTATTTGTTCATCACAAACGTTTAAAAAAATTTTAATTCCATACTAAGAAAATTGCAAACGATAATAATTTTATTAAGATTTTTTAATAAAGAAAAATATATTTTTTGAAAACAACATTAAATTCAGTTGATATGTTTAGTGAATAAAATATCTCAAATGTAGCATAAAATTTCTAATTGAAAATTGCAAAGAATAATACTATTATTAAAAGATTTTTCTATTAAAGAAAAATATTTTTTTTTGAATACAACATTAAATTGATATGTTTAGTGAATAAAATATCTCAAATATAGCATAAAATTTCTAATTGAAAATTGCAAAAATAACAATTTTATTACCAAATAATTATAACGATAGTTCCAGTAATAAATAATTCCGGTAATAAATAATTTAGAACCAATTTTTTTTAATTCCAACAATTAAAAGATTAAAAAAATCCTATATAGACTTTCGCGGCGTTTGTTTCTTCACCACAAAAATTCTTATCAAACCAAAAATCGATTATTTTCACTCCAAATCGACTCAAATCCACACGAATTACATCACAAAAAAAAAACCCAAACTAACCAGGTATATCATCGAACACGATGGGCCTCTTCTTCAGCGGACAATGCGCGTAATTCTTCGCCATCATACCCACAGGCATATTCCAAATCCACGCGAACAACAACAAAAAAAAACCAACAACTCCACAAAAAAAAAACAACTCCAACTATCGCATTCGCACACTCGACAAAAAAAATCTATCGAAAAAAGCAATCGAAATCGACGCGATCGAGCCGACAGTCGAACGGATTCTGACCAGGAAACGGCCGCTCATCGGGCATATTAAGCTCCCGTCCCACCACCGAGACCGGCACGTGCCCGGCGACCAATCGCGTCGCGGCGCTCGCCCGCCAACCAATCGAAATCCAGCACCGGATCGAGTGGGGACCCCGGCAGGTGTGTGTGTGTGAGTGTATGTGCGAGAAAAATTCGGGAGAGTTTCGAGGTGGTCGCGGCCCGAGAGAGCGATGGATTTTTTTTTTTAGAGAAAGATTTCGACGATGCGTCGCAATGGAAACCCATCGGCGGAGATTTCGATTGGGGGCGAGCATGTCGAATTGACGCGCGTCCCTTTTTGGTTGATGTGCAAAAACGAGGCGAGCGGTGTTGAATATGTCGAATTGACGAGTATACGCGTTAGGAGAATGTTGATTTCGTATAGGGAATAATATGTCGAATTGACGCGTGTCCGTTTTTTTGTTTGATTTGCAGAACCGACACGAGCGGTGTTGAATATGTCGAATTGACGAGTATACGCGTTATGAGAATAGGTTTATGTAAAAACGAGGTGATTTGGGTGATGATTTCGTATAGGGAATAATATGTCGAATTGACGAGTGTCCGTTTTTTTGTTTGATATGTAGAAACGAGGCGAGCGGTGTTGAATATGTCGAATTGACGAGTATACGCGTTATGAGAATAGGTTTATCTAAAAACGAGGTGATTTGGGTGATGATTTCGTATAGGAAATAATATGTCGAATTGACGAGTGTCTGATGCTTTTATTTGACGTGATGAGGGGTGTTGATCACGTGGGGAATATGTCGAATTGACTAGTGTACGTATATCTATACGTTTCGAGAATAATTAGATACCTGCATGTAAATTTGATGTGGAAAAATGGGATGTAATGTGGGGTGTTGATTTCATATAGGAATATGCAGTCGAATTGACGAGTGTGCTTTCAACGTTTCGAGTATAAAAATGAGACGAAGGAAGTAAACGAATCGACGGGAGCATGTCGAATTAACGAGTATACGCGTCAATTTGAGAATCTGTGGTAAATTTGTCATAAGATGATGAAATGAACGTTGATTCGCAGAAGCGAATATGTCGAATTGACGCGTGTACGCATTTTGACAATATTATACACAGTTGTGATGATGTAGATGAGGAAAGGAACTTTCTCGTAATCGATGCGAAAAATGATATTTTATTTATTTTATTATATACAAACGAAATTGCTCTAATCAATTTCAAAAACGACAGGTCGAATTAACGCGCGTCCGCGTTTCTAAACTAAATCTGTCACGCAAATAGAATCGCAATAATTTCGTTATATCCAAAATTCACCACCCATAATCTCAACATAAGACAATCCAAACTTCTCTCAATTGTACATCTACACTAAGAAAAATCATTCGTACAAAAAAAAAACCCGCTTAATTTTTTTCCTAATAAACCGGGCGACGAAAAACATTCCATTTACGATATCCCAGCATATCTGCACATGCGAATCGCAATAATTTCGTTATATCCAAAATTCACCACCTATAATCTCAACATAAGACAATCCAAACTTCTCTCAATTGTACATCTACACTAAGAAAAATCATTCGTACAAAAAAAAACCCGCTTAATTTTTTTCCTAATAAACCGGGCGCCGAAAAACATCCCATTTACGCCATCCCAGCATATCTGCACATGCGAATCGCAATAATTTCGTTATATCCAAAATTCACCACCTATAATCTCAACATAAGACAATCCAAACTTCTCTCAATTGTACATCTACACTAAGAAAAATCATTCGTACAAAAAAAAACCCGCTTAATTTTTTTCCTAACAAACCGGGCGCCGAAAAACATCCCATTTACGATAACCCAGCATATCTGCACATGCCACCGGCCCCATAGGGCACCGGTCCCGTCCCTTTTGCGCCCGGCCAGGTGGACGGGGCGACCCCGGCTCCATCTGGATATAGAGGGTGCTCGCTCGTTCGAATTCTCCCGTCCTTTTGTCTCGGTCCCATACCGGGGCCCGCTAACGGTCTTTCCCCCACAAATAATACAGCTGGTCGGAAATCGGAATCCGAATATGCGAAGCGCGCGCGTGCCAATGCACTTGGTTTATAATACATAAATGTATAAGAACCGGACGAATTGATTGATGGTCGATTGCTGAATTTTGCCACTTTTATATAAATTGTGACGTGACGTTTAGTGTATAGAGGTGGGATGTTGTTCGTTATAATGTAACAGTTATTTGGTTGTTGATACAAAGAAAATTGTTGTATACCCTTCGGAGCGTGACTGGTTCTATACACGTGTATAATATATTTCCCTATATTAAATATACACACAGGGCGCATCGTATATAATATATAAGGTGTGTCTTGGTGCGTCATCGAGCCGGATGTCTGTTCCGGCTGGTGATCATCTTTTCAATGGACCATTGCCCATTAAACTGCTTATCCATTTATGAACCTTTAATCGGAACAGTTCCTCTTCTTATTACTTGTATAATTTTTTTTTCTGCTTGTATTATACACCTACATTATCCGACGAATACATGCTCGAATTTTTACCAGCAAACTTGTTGATACCTGTTCTTTCGATCTCCCCAAAGTTGATCTAGATTTTCCTGTATTTTTTTTTCTATCATCCCGTTTTCGGTGGAACAAGTGGTGATTCCCCTTGCATGTATCCCGAAGGAACGGGTTAAACTCGATGTAAATGTAAATACAGTGGCGTAGTTAAGTAATTAAATCACCCGTTGTATGAACGATACAAGAATTTGTATAAGGTACGTGCATGGAGTAATTGAAAATCAAAGTGGAACCCTCTTTGTATATGTTAGGTAATAATAATAAAATAAAGGGGTTCGAAATGTTATACAATGCGACCCGGTTTTTCGGGTCCAGTTATTCAAATTTTAATTTTTCAAACTATTTAGCATTAAGGGTGGGTTTTGATAGGGTGTTTCGTGCACTGCACTGCGCGATATAACATTTTACTATACAATGTCGATATTAATGTATGCAAATGCGCATCGGTAATCAAAATGTTATCGTAAATTTCTCTTATTTATATCGCTATAAAATTGCCACATTTAATCAATACACTACAAATACAGGATGGTTGTAAGAAAATACACACTTTTGTAGCACCACTCTGTATATACAAGCAGGTCGTTAAAGCGCGCGAATTCGAGGAAGTGCATGCACAGTACTGATGAATGTAAAAAAAAAAACTTTTACGCCTCCTCGACCCATGTTATTACCATTATTATTATTACTATTACCCATACAGATATATCTTTAGCGAGACAATAAACGAAAGGCTCCATCTAGCAATGTCTCACTTTTGCCTGGGCATATGCTATGACTCAACCGGTCTAATTACCATTCGAAAAGACACCTATCTTTCGCGCATCCGCGACATAGACGAGAAAAAGAGATTGATGTTGGCGCGATTTATCTTAATTAGCGCCGATTGTGGAGGAAAAGTAGAGAGAAAACGGCTCTATTGTCATGGCGTTTGTTGTGTATACACGAAAGAGTTTGCGTAATGATAGCCGCAGCTTAATAATATACCTATATTATATAGTTAAATTTAGATTGCAGAACGAATGGGAGCGATAGGAGCCTCAAAAATTCTATTACTATTCGTGTATAGAGTTGCAGATGTCACTTTTCCGCGTGTAGATTGAAAAGTGTTACGCTACACGAAGAAACGTGCAATATTCTACGACTTTTACGATACCAAACACCCCTCGTATATACGCTCGCTTTGTCTAACTATATACACGAGGAATGTACGAATAGTGGAGTATTTTTCGTAACCTCTAACGAAAGTTCTACGCCTATTTCTATTCGTAGTTGCATGAGTATTACAGGATTCACTTTTTTCTCGTGTAGATTCAAATAATTTGCACTACACGAAGAAAAATGCACTGTTCTATGCAACTCGTACTAATCGAACGCCCCTCGTACGATCACCGTTCGAGTATACGAGGGCCGTACGAATAATTACGGGGGCATTTTTGCCCCGATCGTTCCCATCGATTATCGGAAGCTCTCGGAGGTCGAATTTATAATTTTCCCCGTCTCGCAATCGGTTTTTTTATTGTACATACGAGAGCGAATCGTGCGCTCGACGACTTCGCAATCTTCCGGGAGCTATATGCACTTATATTGCACTTATATTTTTCCAAAAAAAGAAAAAAAAACCGAAAATTACAACCCGTCCGATGTTGACCTTTAAAATATGTGCCACAGCGATGCGTCTTTGTTCGCTGTATACATACATATCGAAACCCCCTCGTATATTTATATAGAACGCGAAGTATACGAGGGGTAGACGATTAGTATTACGTTTATTAATTAACCGATTGGTTATTTTTCTATCTGTTGAATTTTCAGTGTACCTGTAAAGGAAAATAACGGTTGTAATTTACGTTTGTTTCGTGCTTTGCGCGATTGTGCAACAGTCTTTTATCGGAGTGTTAAACTCATTAAGCGAACTCGAAACCGGAGGAAAGTGACAAGCGGGATGATATATATCGGTTGCGGTAATAAAGCAAAATACGCTCGATAGAGGTAGGCGAGTATCTCGTTCCGTTATTTTAAGTAGTTATTTCTCGCGGGAACGTATCGAACGAAGCGACTTCCCATCTCTATTTATGGTGATTTTTCAATCGAGTATATATCGCAACGTTGAGGGTGAAAGACAACTCCATTAGCACAATGGCGATTATTATGTCGTTTCGAACGCGATAAATGCGAAATTTCCTTCGCCTTATTGGCACGTGTCTATTTCGTATACGTTATATACGAGGCGCGTACGAAATGTAGTACATATACCTACTACAATCAATAAGAACGAGTATCGAATTGTTTTATTATTTTGTCTACGAGGAGCCAACGAATTGTAGTTATTTTAGCATTACGAGGGTGTATCGAAATGTTGTTATATTATTGGCACTTTTATCTACGAGGAGCCAACGAAATGT